TTTTGGGTTATTGTAGACGCTATACGATGCAGTGCTGCCTGCTTTTGATGTATTGGGAAAAAAATCATTTTTCCTGGGCCAAGTTGGAAATGGAGCAAAATTGAAGCTCGTCGTGAACATGATAATGGGCAGGTAACTGTAATTTTTTCACCATATTCTTTCTTAGAAGATTGCGTTTCTTGTCATTTGTAATATTGCTACATAGTCCATACCATGAGAAAACAATGAGGATAGTAACTGTAATTCTTTTTTCTTTCTTTCTTGAAGGACATGTTAATATGTACTCAATTTTTCTGCATTACAGTATGATGAATGCATTCTCCGAGGGACTTGTGTTGGCCGATAAAAGCGGACTGGACCCACTTGCCCTCCTCGATGTGCTGGTAAAGACAAACGGCTTCAAAAAATGAACACATTATTATTTATTTGTTTTTCGAAAATGTTCGTTACCGATGTCATGTTTCTGGTTCATGTTGATGGGCAGGATCTTGGTGCTATGGCGAACCCAATGTTCAAAATGAAGGGACCATCCATGATAAAGGGCAGTTATTCACCAGCTTTCCCTCTGAAACACCAGCAGAAAGACATGAGGTTGGCGATTGCTCTTGGTGATGAAAATGCCGTGCCCATGCCACTTGCAGCTGCTGCTAACGAGGTACGGAAAAATAATTAACCTCTAATATTTGTGGGATATTTAATAAAAAAAAAAAGAACGAACATTGCACTTATTTGTGATTTACTTTTGTATGCAAGGCATTCAAAAAAGCGAGGAGCATGGGACTTGGGGACCTCGACTTTTCTGCTGTTCATGAAACTGTTGCATCTGGCAAAAGCTCATCCTAATAATATATCATTACAAATTAAATCAAAAGAATCATAGGAACACGATCGGTGCTACTTTTCGACATGATTCTGGAATTATATATTATGGTCTTAACAGCAGTTGGAAACAGAATAATGTAATAGCCTAAAAGTTGTGATAACTGCAATATCGCACTTATTCATATTTTCCTGCTAAAAACCTCAACAATTTTTGCACGATTTGAATATATGCGATTGTTCGACACATACCAAAAGGGATATGTATAATTATTGTTACTGTTGTCAACTTCTGTGATTCATTCACATTTATCCACGTACAGTTTGTCGTTTATACATTTGCTCAAGTCGTTGAATAGATCTTGTTCTGAATATCTGTGCATTCGGATGCGTGCAATGCGCTTCTGGTCTACCAATGTACGATGCCATTCTTCATGCCAATTACAAGGTTTCTTGACTATCTGTTCATAGTTTTGTTTTCATATTAATTTTCGTATCTTATTTAGATCAAATACTCGAGCATTAGGTAAAACCGGTACATGCTTTCGACAGTACAATTTTTTAACCTTTTTTTTTTTTCCTCAAAACGATAGATCTCAATAAACAATAACACAGTAACATACACTAAGTACAAACTAGCCCCAATACATAAGACTGATAGGTATTGTATCCTACCCCGAAGTCGAAGAGAAGATCGATTATGAACAATATCGAATCCATTCATTCACAGAAGATTTAATAATAGCTCTTTCCAGATTCCACACATTCTGAAACATCCATAATTCTGAGCTTTCTACAACCAAAATAGTATATATGTGGTCAGTTGTACTCTGGTTTGTAATTTTATTTTTATTTTTTGTGATCAAGTGAGCACAATCTCCACTACTACTCTTTGAAGTGTAAAAATATACATTTCATGTGTAAAAATTAAAATTGTTTTAATATTATAAAAGTAAATTAAAAAATTTGGGGAAAAAAAATAAAGGTGCCTGCCTAGGCGTCCCCCAATACGCCTAGATGCCGCCTAATCGTTGGAGCACATAGAACGCCCGCCTAAACAAAAGTTGTGGTACTTAGGTGCAGCCTAGCGCCTAATCGCCTCCTAGGCCAACTTTTAGTACAGTGAATATGGTTCGTTGGAATTGTTACGTTCTGGTTTTCTACATACTTATATCTCCAAAACACAACCCATATATACTACCAATTCATGTTTGATCCAGAAATAAATACAATGAAATGCATTTTCCTTTCTCTCGAATCACATTGAGTGAAGCTTGGCTAGAAAGAAAGAAGTACGCAACCCTCAAAATGCTGTCTGTCTTTCACTTTCTAGACTTGGGTTTGAATATGTGCTCCTTGTAGAACTTAAGCTCGGCTATGCTTTCTTTGACATCGTCCATTGCTCTGTGATTGTTCTTCTTTTTTGGAGCTTTTTTCTTGTCTGCAAAAGTCGACATATCTTAACCTCTAGATTACTTCATCTAGGATAGTAGCATAGAATAAATTTTATCCCGGGCGAATATTATGAGAAGGAATTAAATTGTTCGATAACGTGAATGAGCAATTGCTGAAAGAAAAAGGTGACGAAAATGCGCAGACAATAAAAGAGTATTATTTTATTTAATTAAAGAAAAACAGAATTTTATCACCTCTTGGGTACCAACGCAGGCATAATGTCTTGATACTGCTGACATCAACGATGACGTGGGAGAAAAGGGCAGCCAAATCTGGCATATACTTCTGCACAAATTTCAGTAAAATATGAAGACTAGAAAGCTTTGTAGGCTGAAGCAAGAAAATCCTAAAGGTCTGAGGATAAGTTTTCTAATCAAATTGATTAAACTGAATTAAAATTGAAAACATTACAGCCTTTGAGATTCATGGGAATATAATACAAAACTCGATAAGTGTCGACTAATCTTTCGTTTCTAACGCCCTTTTCCCCAGAAAATAGTAGTTAATAAAATATTACATGGTCTTAAACTCGCACATAATGGTCATATACTAGGTGTCGTAATTCATCGAGATCCATTTATATGTCGAGTTCAAACCATTAAAATTTATCAAATTGAAATAAAAATCATGTAGAAGTTTCCGTACCTTTAAAAACAGAAGATCCATGTAGACAGAGTTTCCTGCTATGAGAGGCACATATGCGCCCACATATCTCTTCACAAATTCGATAACCTATACAGCTCAAAAGGCAGAAAAATCGAAAGATTTGTTTCAGCATCACAATTAACTTGTCTAGCACCATATATATATGCAACAAAATATTTATCAGATTAAGTAGAAAATATTAAGTGGATCTATATACAAACACAGTCGCATAAATAAAATAAAAAAATAGTAAATTTAAAAAACCAATTGGGTGCGGTGCTCCTGTTTTCATTTCTCCTAACTGATCTAATACTATACATTAAAAAAAATGTTCAAATTCACAAAATCAAAATAATGAGTAAATTTATAGAGGGAACCATTACTCCTGTTTAACGCATGTCGTGGTGGATGTAATGTTGGCATATGGATGTATGTTTTCAAAATTAGTGATATGCTAACTGGGTCCCAGACGAAGTGTGTAAAAAAGCTTCAGGCATCAGAGCTGCCCTAATAACCAACAAGTCCTGTGGAATTTTCAATCTAACTAAAGCATCTCAAAGTGCAAATCAACTGGCCTTCTACTAAACTTACATGTTTGATGCTATTAAATTTCGTTGCATGCTTGTAAGTAAAAGGGACTACCTTTCACGAATCTGGCTAACTACAGAAGTATTTCTTAGTATAAAATCTGGTGATGCAAGGTTTATGTTAGAAGATTAATCTTAGGGGGTGATTGGATATGAATTCAACTAGAAAAAAACTGGTTTTTTTTAACTATAGTTAAGTTTGAAAAAAAGTAGTATGGTTAGTAGTTTGTGGATCATCATCATCAACATCAACATCAACATACCCAGTATATTCCCAACATGTAAAAGTAGGAGAAAATGATTGGAAGTGGTGGTTAGTTAAAATTATGTGAGTGGATGAATAGTGAATTAAAGTTGATGTGATGTGTAATAATGATTGGTTGATATTATTTAATTATATTGATGATATTGGAGATAGTGGAGTTGAGTTAAATTTGAGTTTTGAGTGGGATATTTACTGTAGAAATCATATACAATCACGCCCTAATGATATTTTTTTATTTCTAGTATGGCAAGGATGCAACAATCTGATATAGGAGTAACAAGGTGAAATTACCTGCTTTTCAGCTTCTTGTTCACTTACTGTACTTTCAAGAACCCTCTCCGTCAAACCTAAGTACCAGTAAAACTTGTGTCCTTAGTGACGAAACCTTAAAAATAAAAATCAGTGCTATCTTCCTGAAATTGGAAATGAATGTACTGATAACTTCATCATTCAGCACGCCCATTCAGAGTAAGACGATATATTTTTTTTTTAACTTCATTTAAGGGAGAGACACCAAAACTTGTACACTTCGTAAAAAATTAAACATATTAATTCGTTTGTGTTATTTCTTCAAGCCATCACAAAAGGTTCAATAATTCGAGTCATTTTCCAACTATTATGTGGAAAGGGTAGTATATTCTAAACCCACAAGTTAGTTAACATACTTCAGTTTCTTGAAAGGTAAAATGATGCTTGGATACAAATTTTTCCAAAAAATTTCAATCATTTTTAACCAATCGCTTTTTTTAACTCAAATTTAACTCCACTTTAACTCAATCTTACTATTCTCAATAATATCGATATAATTAAATAATATCATTCAATCATTCTTACATATTACATCAACTTTAATTCACTAATATTCCACTCACATAATTTTAACTAACCATCACTTCACATCACCTCTCTCCTATTTTTATACCAAATCAGCTTTAATTATTTTATTTTAAATATTAATTAACATAAACTCAACATCCCACTAACTAATCATGCCACTTTTTTCAAAATTAACCATACCAAACCAAAAAATCCAAAAAAAAAAATCAAAATATTTTATATTCAAGCATCCCCTAATAACTGCAAAGTCGCGTACCACTTTCTGCATGATGTTCTTGACACCATTCCCCCATCTTATCAAGACATTCTTTAGTTTGATGAATAACCAAGTCGGGTCCCTGTTGAACTAATATTCATCAGTTATGCGGGATGACAGGAAAGACGACATATCAACCATTGCAACAGCATGATTTTCAGAAAGGTGGACATGAAAAAAGCTCATAGTCTTCGGCAAATGGCATAACATGATAATATGTGTGCATGTGTCTAAGTCTCTAAGAAATTCTTGTCTCACCTCAATTGACTTGGTTAAATTCCCATCTGTGACCACACAAGCAATCTCCAGAATTCTATCAACTTCAATATTCAAACCTAAATACAAAAGGAAGGGAAAGAATCATGGTCAGCAATATGAACCTTGTCTCTCTTTATAGATCATATCTTAAGCTTGCCAGTAGTCATGGAAAGCATGCAGATAAAATAAAAAACTAAATAAAGAAACTCAGTTAGCACGTATATAATACAGAATGAAACAGCCTTATTGCTATGAATGGGATCATTATTGCCACCACCAACAACAAAACCATCACCTTCCAACTAAAATAAATTTTAGGAATAATTGTCACGTCATCATAAGTCGCAACTAAGGTAAACATGGCGATGCTTATCTGTGGGGAAAAAATAATGATCTTTTTCGAAGATTCTGGCCTCTGTAATGAATCTGAGATGGTGCAGGATAGTGTATCAAAGCATAGGGCAAGGAGGTGGTAATACATGGTGTAAGACAAAAAATACACTTGACGACATTACAAGAACAAAAAAATAGTTACTCGTGTTCGCTGTCTCTTGTACAATGGCTTAGACATTACTCGTTCACACGGAGGAAAATCTACGTGCATGATCAGAAATGCCATATGGAACAGCTACCAAGGGAGTAAAAGAACATAGTATAACAACAACAACTACAACATACCCAGTATATTCCCAACTGGTTGGGGTCTGGCCTTACCCTTGTAATTATACAAGGAGGTTGTTTCCGTAGCGACCCAAGGTGCATTGCGTCGTTTGATATATATTTTTTTTTTTTCTAGAAACTCCACTAATAGAAGAAGCACTAGAATTTAATTGAGTCATTTTGATCTAGTCCATTATTAGCACTATCCCAGGAGAATTGTCAACAATGACTCTTCCAGCTCCATTTGCAATGGACATATAAAAAAAGAACATAGTATATTTACAAGAAATCTAGAGAATGAATTTTGAACTGAAAAGAAAAAAATGGGGTAGGAAGGAAAAAGACAAAAACTGGAGGAGACAGGCTATAGAAAAACACACGGGACATGGAATGAGAAATCGACATCTGATTGAAATCTAAAGACATCTTTGCATATCAAGAAAGGACTCAGGCAGCTTCTCTGACACCTAAGCATTAAAGAAAGTCTACGTACTTCTTTCTAAGAGAGATATCGACAACAATATACTTATCGTATTAGTCTAAAGGAAGACAAAAATTCGCTAATGTGACAAAAGATCTAAAAAATGCCTTCAATCTATTATATGCTAAACAAACAACTTTCAGCCATGAAATGTTGCATCTTTTCAAGCATTATAATTTGACAAAATCCTTGAGAAAAACCAATTTATAGTTTGTGGGCTCATTCACATAGTATGCGCGAAGAACATAAACGGAAAAGAAAACATTAACCACCTAGATTTATCGATCTCACCAGTCATTTCCAGGTCGATCCAGACAAGTGGCATCTTAAACATTTCCGAGGCCGTTTCACTGGTTTGTTGATCATCACTACCATTTGCAGGCACAATTTCATCTTTCGAATGGTCCCATGTTCCTCTACCGGCAACTGAACTTTCCCCCTTAGAATCTTCACAGTCTAACTCGAGGAGTAAAAATGAATTCGATAGTTTATCCATCGCAACTAATGTGCTAATTACCAGTCACTAATGAGATCCCGAGGAGTTCACAACTCACAAGAACAGAACTTCAGTTCTCCTTCCATGGCTGGGTCAGTCTTGCACAAGTCGGAACCGTTTTTGTCCGATTCAATCCGATTAAATGACAATTTTCAAGCTTTTACGAACTGGAGAAAATAATGGGAACCCTAAATCCAAAGCATTAGAAGTTACGGGATGAACATACCTGCTCGAGATTTGAACAGTACGGCGGAGGAGGGCGGGCGGAAGAATTGACCATAGCAGCAGCGGCCGACTTTGCTGTGCGGGTAAGGTGGAAAGTCGCAATTTGAATTTGATAGGGAACTTACAAAGTAATGCAATTAATTTGGCAAGTTAAATTTCACTAGTAGTCCATCATGTGCCTATGCATAAATACAAATAAATTTTTATATGTTATATATGTCATATGTGTTTATTTAATAACTAGTTTGTAGCCAGTGCGATTAAATAATATTAAATAATAATTATAAATTAACGATGATAATAAACAATATTAACTAATAATTATAAATTAAATATGAGTAAACAATATTAACTAATAATTGTAATTAAGATGTAGAGTAATATGTGTCATAATTTATCGTATATCAATTGTTTACAATATAAAATTATTTTATATAAAATGACATAAAAATGTATGTTTAAAATATTAAAAACACCTAAAATATTATATAACATATGTAAAGTATCTAAAATTTTATATATCATTATTGAAAGACGTGAAGCCACCTAAAATTTTTCTAAACTATTTTATAGATAAAACATGTCTAAAATTATTTTTTTAAAAAAAAAAAAATGCCTACAATATATTATTCAATTTCCAGAAGCGATGATAAGTATAAGTTTGAATTTTAGAATCCATGTGGGTATTATTTTTTGGATCCATGTACTATACAAATTATTCATTATGTTAATTTCAATTGAACTTCATATTGATTTGTTGATTTTATTTTACTTTTATACAGAATTGATTGTCTCATTTTATTTTACCATATTTTCGTGGAGATTTAACAAAGTCGATTGCATTTATAAAATGATTTCGATATCAACATAATTTATAATGGAGTTTTTAAAATTGTGTACTATTGACAAGTAATATATTATCATTAAATAATTTTCTTAAATGCACAATTATTGAGACTGAGAATTTGAAATTATTTTACTATTTGAAACCGAGTATAGAAAAACAATAGATTTAATAAACAAAGAATTGATAAACATTACCAAGTTTTTATCACACGTTTCAAATAAAACAATATGATGATTAGTGGAAATGATATTTAAATAATAGCATTCAATTTTTTTATTTTATTTTTTTAAAATGTATAAATATAAAGACCGATATTCTAAAATTTTTATTGCCTTTCGAATTGAGATTTTATATATATAGAGACATATATTTTTATGTTCTTCGTTGTTTCTATGAAAAAAAAATGAAAAATACACACTTAATAGATCTTAACTGTATTTTTTATATAATAAAATAAATTAAAGCCCAATATTTAATGCAACATTTAAAGTTGTATGATTTTTTAAAGATAAAAATAAAAAAATAATAACACTTACTATTTATAGATTGCATTAAATTCTCTTCTTTTTTTTTTTTGCTACTATTTTTGTTAAATGGTAGTAATTCTTATTATATATATATATATATTTAAATTTATGGAAAAATGCTTTAGTCCCGCTGTAGAACCATTCCGTTAGGATTCCGTAATGGGACTGTAGCCTAACCCAAAATTATGACTTAGATAATTAGCATATCACATTTTATAAATTTTATCATTACTAAAAATGAATGATATAAGTGTAAACTATTTAACTTACATATTAATACTTTTATTGATGCATTATTGATTGATTATGATCAAGTAATTGAAAATGTTATTATAGCAATTGTATACGAAATTTTAAATGGTTTAATTATTGCATATAAAATAATTAACTAATTCTAATAGAAAGAAACTTAATTAATGAGTTGAGAAGAAAAAATAAAATAATTTGAAAAAAAAAACTTTAGAATAGAATTTATTTTAATATGACATTATGATTAGTTATAGTAGTTATTATATAAAATAAATAATAAATATAATTGCTTAATTAATGAAAAAGTAACGGAAAAAAGCGGAAAAACAAAAAGAGTTTTATATGTAGACTATTATCAATAATCTATATCTATTACTATAAAATAGCAATAGAGTTTACTTTAAGTAGAAAGTAAAATCCCGCCGAAAAAATTAGATTTTACTATAATTGACAACTTTTTTGAAATTCTTTGAAAAAATGGCGGTTGATTGGTTATTTGAATTTCAAATTCATTCAAACTTAAAGGTAAATATCATAAACATATTTTTTTGGATACATTCCATTTCGTTTTAACTTACATATAATCACATTCCTAATAAAAATTAAATTAGCTTATATATTTTTAAATGAAAAAATATAATTCCTTTCTAATTTTAAACTATCCTAAGTCCCTCATTAGTCATTAGTTGAGCGACTGAGTATCTCGAATGGAACATTATTCATTTTATTGTCTGACATGTAGAAATGAAATTAAAAACTGTGGCTTATAATTAATTAAATAATATAATATAACAGAAGTTGTTTTGAATGACTTATACATCTACAGATACTTCTAGACATTTTTCATACCACATAGAATTATTTGTATCATGTAACAAAATAGAGTAATAGAAAAGCCATTGAAGATACTTTAACAGTCACTATTCTAAAAATCGGCCTAGGTGGTGCCCGGGCGCCTCCTATTTGCTCAAATCAGTAGAAAAAAATCAGTCAGGCGGCTAAGCGGCGCCTAAGGGGGCCTAGGCAGCCCTAGGCGCTCATAGGCGGACTTGGCGGCCAGGCGGTTAGGCGGGCATAGGCAGACCTAGACGGGCTCGGCGGCAATTTTTTAGTTGTTTTTTTTAAATACTAATTACATTATTTTGTTCTCATGTTTTCTTTAAAATATATTAATTTTATTATTTATACTTAAGTGTGTCAATTTATTATAAGTTGAAATATTTTTATTTTGTAGGCAGTTAAAATAAATAAAAAAAGATATTTAATATTAATTTCTAAGCCCCCGACTACGCGCCGCCTAGATGGTGGTTGATCGCCTAGCGACTTTTAGAACATTAGTAAGTGTCCAATGTGACTATATATGCGCTTGTTAAAGTACTTTTCTTCCAACAGAGAAAAAATATCTGAAAAAAAATGATATAAATAATTTGAAATATATAATTTGAATGTGGGGTAGAATATAACACATCAGAATTGATCTAATCTAAGAATAATAAAGTAATTAATGATAGTAAGAAATATGAAAGTGAAAGAACTGTAATTTATAAAGGAAAATATTAAGTAATAATTGAATTTTGCTTTAAAAATACATCGATATAAGTGAGGTTTAGAAAATGAAACATAGTTTAAAAAATCTCTAGTGACATGAATATTTGAAAATTTGGATATTCTATTGCACCCCAAGATTGACATAAAATAATACCCAATGACCAATTCACAATCATGGTTCCTTCTAAAACTATAACTACAGAGATACAAACCTATTAGATGCGAGGATCCTTATTAACACATTCGGGTAGACGTGTTCAAAGGCCGGGCCAGATCAAGACCCGGCCTGGCCCAGCCCACTGGATCGGTGGGCCTCAAATGTTTGGCCAAGAACCGCCCGGAGGTTCATTGAACTACCGGTTTAAAATAAATAAATAAAAAAGAACTACAACCCGTCTTCCATCCCAGAATCGGCCCAGCCCGGCGGGTCAAAAAAGAAAAAAACGCGATCCTAAACTGGCCCTTAAAGGGTAAGGGTTTGGTTAAAAAACCGCTTGCTTCGGGCCGGGTCGATCCTTGGCCAATTCTATATTCAGGGTTTGGTTTAATTTATCTGTTCTTAGGACCACAAACTAAGGAAATCTACATTCCCAATGGATGCGTTATCCAGTCATAAAGCAGATCAAGAAATACAAAACAAACAACATCAGCAGTTGTTGATGACATAATTTTCTGATCTGACATCAAGAACATCTACTCAGTGGTTCATGTTAAGACCACCAGAAAATAGTATCATTAAGAATCGTGCATATTTAATCCGGGATGCGAAATAATTTGAAGTACCAAGCAAGCTGAATTCTGAGTTTCTATAATAAAAGTTTCCTGTAAGAATCGGCCTCCTCGGCCATCTCCTCCATGCTTCTGTCCTTCCTCTCTTTGTCCAGATCAAGATTTTGCTTCAATTCCTTTTCCTTCAGATCAATCTGTACAATGTGTAATCAGAATTCAGAACAAGACCCCAGAAAAGGGAAAAGAAAGTGTAACCTCATGAGCTCGTATCTTACAGCATCATAAATCTCATCGTTTTTCTCAAAATCGCCGTTTTTGCGAGGGAGGATGTGAATATGAACGTGTGGAACAGTCTGACCAGCCTGGGGCCCATCCTAGGGTGCAGATGATGTCAAGAAGTTAAGCTTTTAGAATAAAGAAAATAACCAAAAAGTTTCAGAAATCGGATAACAAAACTGCATGGCTCGATACTTAAGATCAATAGATTAAACGTATTCCAAAATAAAATATTGTACTTCAATTTGTGTTTTGTACTTGATCCTTACAGAAAATCGTACAAATACAAGAGTAGAAAATTGAAACATTGAAGAAGTAGCAATCAGTATCAGATGGGAAAACTTGCACAAATCTTAAAAGGAGACGTGAAAAATTCAAACGAGTAGAAAAAGATGAAGTAAACTGCAGCCATATACTAGCTTACTTGGATTGCATATGTAAGTGAAGATGCCTTGTGATAGGTCTCAAGTCGGGACCCGATCTTTTGTGCAGATAACCACAGATCACTAACCTCGTCAGCAGTGAGATCTGCAAAGCGTTTCACTTCACGTCTCGGACAAACGAGCACATGTATGTTGTGTTAAGTCGGCAACATAAAAAGACGCGTACGTAGTTTGTTACTATTCTTTTATATTTGTAACTTTTCCAGGAGACAATCAGGCATGCAATCCCATCCATGGATGTGAACCATGATAAAACAGCAAATCACAAACACCCAAATTTGTGTGGGTTTTAATGATAAGGAACGTTGAATGAAACTCAAGGGAGCAAGCGAGCTCAAGTCTTTCATCCTATCTAGTTAAATTAACTATGTTTAAGCATGTAAAATGCTGGAAATTTAATTTATCACGAAGTCCCATGGAGCATAAGTGCTTCTACCAAATGTAACTGTAAATAGATCAAATACAGTATGCGGTATGCCACCATTTAAAGTGGCTCGAAGCAAAGGATATGGCCTGCAGATCAGGAAAAAACAACCTAAAATCAGCAAAGGCAGATGAAAAAGTTGAATAGGCATGATCAACACGAAACGATACATGATGTATAGACCTTACAAAGAAAGAAACTTCTGTTTTATTTATTTATTCATTTATTATTTTTGGATTGGTTCACACAACCAAAGAACCAAGACTTGCACATGACTCATTGTAGATTACAAAGTTGCAAGGATTTTACAATTCAACACTTCTTTGTGGGGATTGTCGCTATAAATCACAAATGAAATGGTGCAAAAGATCTTTCATTCATTCTAAAAACATATCCTGGCATTCACAATGAGATGGTGCAGTCGTGCAGAACATCGTTGGGGCTTCCGAGACAGGAACATCATTTACATAATGATGTTAAAACCTTACTAAGTCCAATCAGTTTAAACATTTGAGCATGTTATATACCAGTAAAGATCCAACAAACCCACAAAAAATTTAAGGAAAAAATAAAGAAAGGAAAAAGAAAAAAAGGAATGTAAATGCATACCAGGAACGACAGGGCGAAGATTAACCAAAGCATATGAAAGCTGAGTAGCGTAAAACACTTCCTTCGGGTCGATTTTATAAGGGCCAAACTTAATGCTCTCAGAATCCATCTAGGGCATACAAATTTTTCGACAGCAAAACGTGAATAAAGCTTGAATTAAGAAAAAAATATACAATTGAAAAACACTACGGCCACCGCATAACTGATCTCAGTATACAAGAAGGTCCACGACGAATTTTAAGTCGAATTTCGAGACTTGCCTGGGCAGATGTGCGGAAGGAGGAAGAAGAGCACACCCTGGTTGTTCCCACGGTGGCGATGCGGCGGCTGCGGAGGAGAAAGTGTCGCCGGCTGGTGGTGGGGTGAGATGAGTACACGAATGAATTGAGCAAACGAAGGGAATAAAAAGGAGGTCGTGGATTTAGCATTACAAGTGCAGGCCGGAAGAGACTACCTACTGCTACAACTCACGAGCTCGAAGTCAAAAATTGGCTCGAGTGAAGGGAGAGTTTGCAAATTGCAAAACTACCACAATTTCTGTGGGAAATTGTGAATACGGCTGAATTAAGGGGGCCTAGAGTTTTAGGGTTGCGCCAATCGAGCTACAATAATTAGGGTGAGCAAAATCGAGCCGAAACGAAAAGTCGAACTCGGTTCGGTTTTTTTAATGTAAATAAAATTCGATTGGGTTTTTCCTACATTGCGTTGCAGTGCGGTTATTATTTTTCATGAGTTCAGTTTTCGATTTTATTCGGTACGGTGCGGTTTTGAACCGAACTGTACCAAAATTTAATGAAATGTATAAAAAAATCGAACTAAAACTGAATACCAAACCGAACTGTGCATTTCGGTGTTGTTCAGTTCGGTTATTTTAGTGTAAAAAATTTGGTTCGGTTTCAGTTCAGTTTTATTTAAGGTTGTAGTGCGATTCGATTAATTTTTTTGCCAAGTTCGGTTTCGGTATTTTGCGGTTCGGTGTGGGTTTTAGTTCAGTTTTATTTATGGTTGCGGTGCGATTCGGTTAATTTTTTTGCTAAGTTCGGTTTTCGATTTTTTGCAGTTCGGTGCGATTTTTCACCGATCGGCACCGTTGCTCACCCGTAACAACAACATCAACTACACCTGATTGAGCTCGTTCTTTGTGACCGTCATGACCTGCTCGCCCACCGGAGGTTCTTCTGTGATGCCATCGACATTCTCTCATCTTCTTGTAGTAGATTTTATGGAACCGAAATCACCGACCCTGCTGTTGCACCCGACTCGCCCTCCAACAAACCAGACGGGTAGTTGGTCATTATTGCAGACGCTAGTGAAGTCCCTAACCATGAAAGGATGGGAATCAGAGTAACTGGAGTCAGAATTGACCTCAAATAGCTTGGCGGTGGTCTCATCCCTAATGGGTAGTTGGACGACCAAGTTTCATGAGAGATAGTTTCCAAGTTTATCTGAGTATCATCGTTCGCCATGATTGGTGTTTGATGGCTTTCAGAATGCTTTCCACAAACGACGCCAATTGATGTGTGCAAAACTTCACTTCGGTCCAATGTTGTCTACACCGTCTATTGAACTACTTCGAACACCCGAAAAACAACGTCGAGGATATCCCAACATAGAGCCTCTGGTGCTCAAAATAGTTTTTGGAGTAGTAAAGGGTGTAGTGATTAATGAATCATAATGTTCAAGAAAGAATGAAGAGGTACTTTAGTCATGTATACCTTAACTCTTTATAGAGGGTGGTTATCGTATGTATTGCCCACAAACCTTACTTGTTGTTGCCTAAGAACCTTATCTTTTTTTTCTTTTTTTTTTCTTCCTTGTGTCTAAGAACTCGTATTACCTGATAACCTTATTTCTTGTGTTCGAGGAACCCTTGTTGCCCAGGAATTCTCCCTTCCCAAGACCCATTCATATTTGATCGTGTTCACATGTGGTCCTTTTTTTCTTCTTTACGTCTTTCCTCGCACAGGTCCTTCTACTGAGGTCTATAAATCTCATTGAAGGTCATCAATTCACATGCAATCGAGTTGTCTTCAGTTCTCAGCCCAAAAATTTACATTTATAAGCAGGATAGAGATGATTGGCATGTGCCTGACCGAGCTAAATTAGCTAGGTCATCTCCGCTCTGACTAATCCAACTTCACTGAGTCAAAGTTGTCCATTAGGTCATTACTCAGCAGCCCTTGGCCCAGGTCGAGCGTCTAACAGACTATCCTTCGAGCTTAACTCAACTAGATGTTACTCTTCATCAAGTCTAGTTCTCCCTGCTCGATCATATTACATGCCAAGAACTCAATATTACGGCCATTAGAAGAGGGGATAAAGACAGTACCATCAAAGAGACCGAGTTTGTTTTTTATGTTCAATGTCATAGTAACTGCACGAGACCAAGAGACATAATTGCTGCCATCAAACACCTCAGCGACGATGAGTGCACCAGGATTATCGTTTGGGTATGGCGACGTCGGGTCGTCTGTGAAGTTAGGGTTTGCCATCGATCGTATTTGTAATAGTCAGAAGAATCATATCCACAATCGCACAAACTGAAACCGAAATCGTACAGATCGAAGAAGATTGTACAAATATAGGTTAAAATAGTGCAGATTTAGAAACAAAAAGAAAAAAAGAAAACAGAAAACAAAATTGCCTTAAAAATGAAGACGAAAGAAGATGCAACGGAAATCGGATCTATAAGCGTTTCGGTGAGGCGCCAACGACTGATACCATGATAATATTCATCGATTCATACATAGAGACATAAAGAGAGACAGAGGAGCGATTGATTGAAGATGAAAGAAGGTAGAGTTTGTGTATTAAGAAAAGTGAATAATGATACAATGATGCCCTTATATACTTGGGCCACATATGCAAATATTACAAACAAGTTGCCTCTAGGAAAAACATAGGTACTTGTAATTTTGACATAGTTAGTCGCTTAATTATTACTATATATTTCTAATTCAATTCCAATGGAATTCTAACGTTACCGACCAAAATATAGTCGGTGACAATTTTTATTATTTGTGTAAAGGAAAACTATATATCATTCGTTTGACTAGCTAAAAATCAAAGATTTAGAGTACTTTTAAGGATCTCCATAATCGTATATTAATAAATTATATGCCAGATAAATTTCCTGCTTAAATTATTTTCTTAGACTTTTTTGTACTTTAAATAAATAGGATGAACAAAATGTGCCATAAAAATAGTCACACTTCGTTGACACTTGAGCTCATTCATCACAAAAATATAATTAATGCCTACATAATTAAGGGAAATGATATGGTCCAGTTACGTTACTATCCCGTCGGGTGTTTTAACCGTTGGATACACATGTAGTTAGTATAATATAGATGATTCGACGGTAAAAAGTTAAGACACCTGACGGGATGGTACCGTCGTAACATGACCATAGCATTTCCCATTAATTAAATATAATAACTGTCTTTAAAAGAAAAGAGAGAATTAATAATTTTTAATATTACTCTATACTCATCAAATCTTCTTAAATCATTTATATACAAATTTTCTAATAATTATTTAAATACTTCTCATAAAAAAAAAAATTAAAAAAAATAAAGACATTTAAAGTCCAACTCAGTTTATATAGCACTTGACAGCTTTTCCTTTTTAGTACGAGGATTTTATAATTTAGGATCCATAATCTGACACAGCAGATTGTATTTGTTGATATGATAACAAAGTAAAAACATTTAAAGTACCTACACACACCAACAAGTTTGGCTCAAGTGGTAAGCATCTTGATGTCGCTTAAGCAAGGTCTCGGGTTCGAGTCCTTGTGGATGCAGAAAATCCTTGTTGGGAGACTCACCCACCACTGCCAGGTGTGCGACCCGAGTCGACGAATTAGTTGGGGCATAGCTCCGGATACCGTGGCTGGCGCCAAAAAAAAAAAGTCCCTACACAGTAAATCTTTCTGTAATAATATTATTTTTGCCAAATTATTTCACCATATAAATATGTCAGAATGATCTGTTGTCTTATTTTATATATTTATATACATTTGACTTACCAACCAACAAACAGATGTGCTAAGACATAGAAAACAAGAGATGGACAATACAAGGAATCTTTTATATGCTGGCGTTTTGTTGGCTATCATATGTTGTTGTTATGGGCAAGTGAAGCCAAAGGAGTGCAATCTGTACCAAGGAGAATGGGTTTTTGATGAGTCTTACCCTCTTTTCGACTCCTCGAAATGCCCTTCGATTCGCAAAGAGTTCGACTGCTTAAAGTACGGCCGACCGAACCGCGACTACCTCAAATTCAGATGGCAACCGGCCAATGGCTGTGAATTACCAAGGTTTAATTACTACGTACTCTTTTTAATTTTTTTTATTTTTTTTTTTGTTTAATAATATTTTGTCTTGTAGATTTGATGGGAGAGATTTTTTGAGGAGAATAAAGGGCAAAAAGGTAATTTTCGTGGGGGACTCGGTGAGTGGGAATCAATGGCAATCGCTGGTGTGCCTTCTCCGTGATGCCGTTGGGGAAGCGAATGTCATCACCGATGCGAGTAATTCAATGCCTACGGTCACGTTTAAGGTTAGATTACTTTTTATATTTATATATGTGATCCAGTTTAATTATACAAGTAGATTCATATAGGTTTGATCAAAAGCAAGGTCAATTTTAAGGGTCACTGCTCGAGCTCGACAAGCCGACGTGATTTAAAAAAATAATTACACGGGTCTCAAGATTGACACGTTGGGGTCGAATTTGGTTTCGTTATTCGATAGTTGAGAACAATCTGAAATGTAAGTTTTCTATTGCGAAATAATAAAAATCATGCCTTATATTGACACAATTACAAAAGATTGAACCTTCTAATGGAATTTCCCCAAGGTGTAGATTATTGCACAACAAATTCATTGAGGTTAAATTTCTTGTAACTGCTCGAGCTCAACAAGCCCACATGAAATGTAATTCCAAAAAAAATAAAAAATAAAAAAAAAAAAAATGAAATGGGTCTTGAGATTGACTCCGGCTTGCTAGACTTCGGCTCGATTTTGTAAGGTTGATCTTATTAGAGCATTACAATATACATCATGTCTTTGATCAAAATCGAATTAAATGATGTTAATTATGTAATCCATACATGCATTTTTTTTTGGTACAGAGACCTTCCGGTTTCCATACATGCATTCTAGTTAAATTAAGTAATCATAAAATAATTTAAATGAAAAAAAAAAATAATCACAAAAGAATCACAATAAAATAAAAATGATGTATATGTTGGAATATCACGTGTGAGTTATCCCACATTAAGAATTAGGTGAAAATGAGCCTATTCTATAAGTCTAGTGGATCATTCCTTCTATCACCAATTGGTTTTGGGATGGAACCTCACTAAGGTGCAACTACGCTCACCCTCTTATGGTGTGTTTCACTGTGTGGAACCGCACCCTTGATCCCCTGATTATATTTGATCTTATGGTGTGTTTCACTGTGTGGGACCGCACTCTTGATCTCCTGATTATATTTGACATAGTATCAGATTCGGTTCTATTGATACTGTGCGATGACGTACCCGTTTAGGGAAAATAGGTCTAATTTATAAGTCTAAAGAGCTACTCCTCTTACTACCAATTGATTTTGGGATAGATGAACTACATTTGGGTCACCCTATTATGATGCGTTTCACGTGTATGGGACCGCACCCTTGATCCCCGATTATATTTGAGAGAATATATATAATTGGAAGCCAAATTTGCAGGAGTATGATGTGTCAATATCAGTGTTTCTATCGCACTATTTAGTGGACATTAGCACAAAAGAAGGGGTTGGGCGGGTGCTGAATTTGGACTCTATAAAAGATGGGGAGACTTGGAAACAGGCCGACCTATTGATTTTCAACACGTGGCTTTGGTGGTATCGCAATGGACCTAAGCAACCGTATGTCTCATTCCTCACTTTTTTTTTTTCTTGCAAATTATTAATGATGATTCAAATTAATAAATGACAACCAATAGATACATATATATTACCTACTTAAGAAAAAATTGAACTTTTAAATAATATGCCAATTTGAATGGTCTCATACCATAAGCTAAAGCATGATTAAAAGAGTGTTAATGTTTGAGCTGATGATTGGTTGGCTTTTTTTTAATTACATGGTAAAAATGATATATTTTAAAATGTATTAGATATAAACTAGTACTTACCCGTGCGATGCACGAGACAAAGATATTAATTGAGTTATTTTCACAAGCCTTGTCTGTTTATGTCTAAAAAACAATAGGTTCTCATCTATTTTCCACGTTTTTAATCAACGTTAAGTCTAAAAAACAATAGGGTTATCTAATAATATACAAATAAATTCTAAAAAAACAGTTAAACTAATAAGTATAAAACAATAATCATGGTTGCCAATAATATACAAATAAATTCTAAAAAACAGTTAATATATTTCAATTTTTATTTTTTATCATTAGTAAAACTACTTAATGTATGTGATCATTATCTATTAAATGTTAAATTATATTAATTTGAAGAATATTTTATTTTTTTATATATAATGAAATAAAAATTAAAAAAAAATTGTATTGGCAAATTAATTCACCAACTTGGTTTCGCCTGATTAATTAGAAGAAAAAAACTCTATCTAACCTGTTACAATTTTCTATAAATATTTTTGGATAAAAATTGAATACTTGTGGAAAAAATTAATATTATGATTCGAATTTAAAATATGTTGTACTAACATTTGTCTTGACTAAAATACTATGAACATAAATCACGAAAAATCAGTCTTCTAATTAATTATAATTTGGATATCAATGAAATTGTTGTAGGTTATTAATAAAATTCTCTAACGAAACAAATTAAGACAACATTTTTTATCATATCTGATTTGATCTTATTTGAAAACGTGTATATAGAAGCAATCAATGCATACATTTAAAAAGTTTCCAAAAAAGGTATGCATTAAATGCTCCTAAAATTTTTTACTGCTGTTTTTAGTAAATGACTATTCTTATTATGTAGATATAGATATAGATATAGATATAGATATAAACTATGACATTATAATAGTGTGAAATGAAACAATTATTTTATTTCATGTAGCACATGATATACATATACTTATAGTATAATTTGAATATAAAAATTATTTTTTCAGATGGGATTATATTGAAAATGATGGGAAGATAGTGAAGGACATGGACCGCATGGAAGCCTTTCGTAAAGCTCTAATCACATGGGCCGAATGGGTCAACTCTCACGTCGACCCTTCTAAAACCACGCTTTTCTTCCAAGGAATCTCCCCATCCCATTACAAGTAATTAAGATCCTGCATATATAATTAATTATTCCTAACAATAATATTAATAATAATTGTTGACTATATATATCTCGATCGACCTTACAGTGGGAGAGACTGGAATGATCCCGGAACAACCGATTGCTCGAAGGAGACGAAACCGCTAAACGGGTCGACGTATCCAGGTGGCGAGCCACAAGCCTTGCATGTCTTGAAACAGGTGTTGAGTAGCAACGTATCCCCGTCTAAGCCGGTGCGTTTGCTCGACATCACGACCCTGTCCCAGTTGAGGAAAGACGGGCACCCGAGCAGGTACAATGGCTTCAGGGCCATGGACTGCACCCATTGGTGCGTGGCCGGCGTTCCCGATACGTGGAACAACCTTCTCTATGCCGAGCTGGGGATTCAACAAATATGACTGGATTTTCCGACTTTTATTTTTGTTTTATGTAATGTGTTCCAATATTTCGAGCTATTTTCAAGGTTCGGATGTATGTTTCGATTAGAAAGAATAAAGAAAAAAAGGGTTCGGGTCGATGTATGCCTTCAAACTTCTACTTGAAACCATAATCGAAATTTTGGTAGCTGGATGCCTTGACGCATTACAATGTAATGTAACTTCATACAGATGCATGGATCATGTTGCACAATGCAAGGTTAACCATACCATGTGTATATCGAATTGATATGATATTTTGCATAAACAGTTGGGTCTTGACCCGGGGCTCTTGTGTAGCTCGATTCTAAACTGGAGCTCCATTAGCTCGAAGTGATAAGTTGGGTATGTTGAGGTAGGTTCCTTAGTCCCCGTCGCGGGCGCGACAACTTGCTACATGCTGCAGAAGGACGGGACAGGGCGTCGCGGGCACGACGAGCTCGCGATACTGACGCACTTGTTCATTTCAAAGAGATTTCTACTCAGTTTTGGACGACCTGGCACGTTCTAAAAAGTATCTTTTGATGTCTTGAACCCCTTGAGATGTGTTAGAACATCTATAAATTTCCATGAAGTAAAATGGTTTGACATATCAATTTTTCAAGAGCTCTTTACATCATTTTACAAAGTTAATAAATCAACTTGTGTTCTTTGTGTTTCTTTCTATCTTGAGAGTTTCGAAACTTAAGTATTGTTCGCCAAAGGTTTGTGCATTTGAGTTAACGCTATACACAAATCGAAAGTCGTTATATCTAGGAGGCATTAGTCATGAACCGTGGGTAATATACAGGTTATTTTGTCTTAAGGAGAGTGTATCTTATATGCCTCGACTTTATTCATTTTGTCATTTTTCCTTCTGATTTCTTAAGCCATTTCATTGAGATTCACAAACCCTATCTTTATACACGTTTTTCCCTCAATTGCCGTGTGGTTTAAATTATGGGCCAAGTGAAAATATTTTTAAAGTGGACAGTCTAAATGTAGCAAGCCTTGAGCCCACTAGTTTCTTCAAATTAATAATTTTGGGCCTGAATTTGGACCGAACTCGAGCTGGTATGGGTACATCCATACTGGCCTACTCAAATTCTCGTTTGGTGCTACGCCACCAATGAAATACTCTAATATTCTGAAAATAAAACATAAATATATCATAACACTTAAATCAATCTAATAAATAAATAAGTTGAAAAATATATAATGCGATAAAGCATATAAAAGTACGCTAATAAATGTATAAAATACAGACTTTTTTTCGACCAATCAAATCTTCCTAAATTTAAATTGTTGCTTTCTCCAAGCAACTTAGAACCAAAAATACATTGATGGGCATAAACAAGTATGTGGAGTTTTACTCGGAGCATCACTAATTCTCACATAAGTACTTAGTTCAAACAACTCGAATTAATTTACGATCATCTTAAAAACGCAAACAATTAAGTATCAATTCATGGAATTATTATGGTTTGTCAATCTCTACATCATTCATGCAACTAACGATACTCTTTTCTTTGCTAACCAATTTGGCTCCTCTTCGTTTCTAGCCTAAAATCAGATATCTCGTTCTTCGATTCTCTCTCTTTTTTTTATAAATTTATTTATTGGGAACGACAACTATCTCACAATCATTGGGTTTTAGTTATTTGTGCTCGAGTTACGCACTAAAGCTCCCATGGACTTTAGTTGTTGCAGATCATAATCCTTCTTTTTTTTTTATCTCTTCACCCCGACATCCATTATTTTTCTATTTTTTTTCTTCACAATCATTATTTACACCATCTTTTTTTTACGAGACAGTCTTTCCACGACAAGTCACCCAACATAATTAACATTGATCAGAATATTCACCAGCACATTTCAAGGATACAATCGGTCACGACCAACTTTTCACGAATAAGTCACAAAAATATGAACCATGTCTTTGTTCTCAAAATAAAAACCACTCAAGAATTTAATCGGATACAATTAACTCAAGCCATTTCAACTAGCACAATATATCCAAACCAACTTTCATATCATCATCGCAAAATTCCACGTACAAGCAATCTCACACTTAGACACGACAAACAATTATCATGCAATTTAATCTTAGAACTCAAACTCGAGTTCTTCTTTTACCTTTGTCATTCTCTCATCATGTTTCAAAATATTTATCTCCAATTGAATAATTGTGGACTTTAATGCATCATTCTCCTTAACTTTTTTTCATTTATGAGCTTAGCCTCTTATTCATGGTTTGTAGTCTCTTATTTTCATTCTCGAGCCTGTTTGCTTCAAAGACACCATATCTTCATCGACTGTAGAGATCTTTTTGTACACCTTTTCACAATCTTCGAGATTAAAATATTGAATGTTAAAATAGAAAAAAATCATAATTTGAAATTATATTAGATCGATCTGTTTGGGCCTCAAATTCATCATTGTTCCTCAAAGTGGTGTTGAAATTCAATCCTCGTTTGCACAAGGTCTTGGAGCATTGCGTAGTGACCATACCCTTTGCGAACATTGCACTGGACGGTCTCGAGCGTCTTCGAGATGATTTTTCTCTTTCGCTTGTTGAATTTAATCGATTCAAAGTAGATGGAGTAAATGAGTTTGATACTTGGGACTTGGAGGCCTGGGAGTTGCCTTGTGAATTTCATCTCGATTGCAAGTATTTCCGAATATATTTTGCTTTTTATCATGTTCCTCCATTCAACATGCATAAGCACGCGCAAGCTCCTAACTCGCAAATAATATAACATATCACATACATTTCTGCACGAACACGAACACGAACAACAGCAGAATGCATGGGAACAAGTTAGCCGACAAGAATACAAGTTACTACTATATTAGACAGCAAGTTATTGTACATTACAACACAAGCTTTGCAGCAGAAAAAATAAAAAACAAAAGTGAGAAAAACAGACACATGCCTTGATAGTGTACGTTTTTTCTCTATACAATGTTAAGAGTGAACGACATTACGTGGTTTTGTTAGAAATGGCTAGCTCGACAGTGATGATGAAAGTTGAACATGTGGCCTCCCTCAGATACCGAACGTCTCCATTCATTAGTTTCACAAGCTTCCGGTTTACGAAAAGGCTGATCCCATCCTCGCACGTGTCAGACTCCTCACCAAACATCTGGTCGAGCAGCGCATGTGGTACACCAGCTCCACTGTGTGTTATCCTGCATTCAACGCGCACATCAACAAAAAGCACGTACAAATTAAAGTTATAAAAATAATCATAGGCATTTATCGCTTCTAGCAAGGAGTAATCTCGTGATCAGAATCTCAAAACCACATGAGGAATGTTTACAAGTAGGCAACAATTATAGAGATAAGGCATAACTCAAAAAAAGTAAGAAAGTAGGAATGAAGGTAACTACGCATCATATTTGCATTTTTTAACTAAGAAAACAGAGTTGGAATATTTAAAATATTTGCCTACTGATAGTGAAAGTATGTTAGAAATACCCGTGTAGTTCACGCCGTTGTACTAGTTTTAATAATCATTAGTATTTTTGTAGTTAATATAATAATAATAACAATAATAATAATAATAATCACGAGCACACCTGAATTCCAAATGACCCAGATGAACTGATTCCCCAATAGAATCTTTCCTCAAAGTGGCTGCAACACTAAGTTGGCCTCCGCTTGGAGTGGAATTAACAGATACCAGCAAAAAAGCAGCCAGGACTTGCTGAAGCCTCACAGAGTCACCGTACACAGTCTCCTTATCGAGATTTGGTGCCAAATTGTCCACTATCGTAATACCCTTTGCGCTGCTCTTCATCATTATTTGACTAATGGCAGCAATCAACACCTCGGGCACCTTAAATTCCACCATCTCCAGATCCAAGTACCTGAGTGGGACCAAAATCAGTGCCCGTACACATGAATTTCCGGACCATAAATATTTTGCTTTCACAGTAACCAGTATTAAATAGAAAAAAAAAAGAATATAAATTAATAGAGAATAATGATAAAATCGACGCTCCAAATATTTGAGTTATGCTGACCTTATGTAGCTTCTCAACACCACATTCTATTTGACAGTATCAATTTCAACAGATAGACTCTCATGTTTTGCCAAAAATAATAATAAGTTTCTGTACTTCAGCATAATGTCTCCACTTACCCTTCAATAATTTGATCAATATCCGTGTCGTCCAAAATCTTGTTCAGCTGACGCTGGCAGTGCTGAGTAGTCCTCAGTAGATTCCTCTGCTCGTCATCCAAGTCAGTCCCTTCCATCATCTTCCTCGAGAAAATAATGCCCGACAAAGGATTCTTGATCTCACTCCTTATATACGCCATCACCCTCAGCCTCTTCATAGCTATCTGCTCCGAAACCCGCTGCACATGAAGCGCCTGCTGCAGCTCAGGGCTAGGGAGCTGCAAAAAGCAGAAGAGCCCTGTCACAGCCCCTTCACGATCAACCTTCGTGCTCATGCTCAGCAAGCAGTCGACATACTTCCCTTCCCTCGAGAAAAATCCAAACGGAACCCTGCCCGAGTCCTGACCAGTCACGGCCTTGTTCAGCAATATACCGAGATTCACATAACTTTCTTGATTCTTGAGACGGCAGCAGGCTTTGCCGAGCCCGAAGACCTCGCCGAGGAGCATCTTGTCAATTACTTCCTCACGCTGCCAGCCGGAAAGGTGGGCCATGGCTGGGTTCCACTCGGAGCACCACCCGAATTCGTCAAGCCCGAAAATGGGGGGAATGAGCGGGTTCGGGTTTTGGACGATGGCCTGATAGTCTCCCTCAATACGTGTGAACTTGTCCATCATGCTTCGTTCGGTGGTCACGTCCTGCGCGATGAAGCATACTCCCACAACGTCGTCCTTGATGTCCCGGCTGGTGCAGGCGTTCACGACCAGGCTAATTGGGCCGGACTCGGCTCGCGCCCCGTGGGTTTTGATTTCGAAATGCACGTTTTGTTCTTCTTGGCCTGATCAGAAACGGGGGAAAAAGGACGGGTTGTTTATG